AGGATTTTTACACCAAGTATCACCGAGATGATTCTATTTTTATGCACTTATGCCAAGCAGATAAATGCTATGCTATAGGTTAGCTATAGGGAGCCCCAGTGATGAATATGTAAATTGTTGCATGTTCACTCAGAAATCATCAGCCTGACTAAAATAACATTCATTGTCTGCGCTCTTCCTCGTTTGCCCAGACCCTGGTGTCTACATCATGATGTAAAACAAGGGCGACACCAACAGCTGAAAACCAAATTCCTTGTATGTTGTGTACGTACTTGGCCATTAAAGCTGATTCTGATTCTGATTCTGAAAAAAAAACAAAAAAACAAATAGTCTACATATTCATACGTTTCACAGATATCAAACGGGATATCAAATGCCAAAGTATTCATAATTAACTTCCTTCAAGTATTTAGGATCAGGAGTCATAAATACTTGAAGGAACTAAACTAAAGCTAAAATGAACAGTGAAACTCTTTCAAGCACGTCGTCGGTGCTCCTCTGCTGGGCCACGGTGACTCAGTGTTTAACACAGTCACCTAGAGGTCACTGAGTCGGCTTTGTTTTGGTCTGTTCCTTCCTTACCACGAAAGTCAAGCGAACTGGACTGCACATGGATTTATAATAACTGACAGGCTGAAGCAAACGTGCAGAAATCAGAGGAAACTGGACAGTTTAATGCATTAATAACCTACGGCACAATACCTGACTCTTATGTAAAGAATAATGTAAATTGGTACTCCAGTGCGGCGCTTTATGAAAATCAAGTCATAACACGGTTTCCAAGCTGTGACATTCTAACACAAATAAATGACAATAATGGTTAATGACCGCTGGGATGTTGGTCGAGGCAAAGAAAACGCTGCTATGAATGTATGCATTACATGACGCTGACATGAAGCCGCGGACGATAGATGAAAATGAGATTTTTAAGCCATATATGTTGCACAATTTATGTATATACTGTGCATTGCTCCTGTTAAATGAGCAATGAAGGAATAAAAGCATCCTCAAATGGATCCGCCCAAACCATACAAGCACACAAATAGGATAAATCATCTTGTTTACAGGCTCTGTCAACAAAACTACAAACTTCTGAATGACCTTTCGTCCTACCTCTGGTGTGGCTGGGGACCCTCCGGCGGCCTGTCGATGAGCTGTGCATGACGTGCTGGTAGTGAGACATGTCTGTTGGCGTGGGAACACGGAAACCGTCCTGGAACCTCTGCATCAAATCCTCTACTGACTCTGTGTTTGGGTCAATGGCTAGGAAAAAGAAAAAAGAAAAAAAAAAAGGAGATGCAGAGTGAAAATGGCAGCCGTGTCACAATACTTAAGAGTAAAAGTCGTTCTGCAGAGACTGACAGACACTCGAGATACTGTAGAAAAAACAACGTACACAAATACAAAAAGGCAAGCATCCAAAAATACTGTTTTTTATCTTCTTTCTTTTTATTTTTTTTCTTTACAGGGAGGATAAGAGATTGGAATGTGATATGCATCATGTGCCACTAGGCTGTCCCATTTACACAAAGTAAAAAAAAAAAAAGGAGAAGAAAATCAACAACAACAAAAAAAACAGCACTGTCTTATTTCTCCAATTCAATTTTTTCTTGGCCTTTAAATGATTCCATCAGTTCAATATTGCCTCATCTCTACAGGGATCCTGCCAACGCTTCCCCTGATGGCTCAGTCTCACTCTTCCTGATGAATGACTCCAAAACAACTGACTGTGGCGAAAGAAGGCAGAGCACAGACAAGGGTTTGCTTCCTTTTCCTTACAGATTGACTTTTACAAGAGCAAGGACAGGGAATTGACCTGTTCTGCCTCATTTATGCCAGTAAAAAGACTAATCAGGAGGAGAGAATATTCTCTCCTTATTGTGTCTGACACACACACACACACACACACACACACGGAGATATCTGATAAAAGTTAATCAAATCCAAATATGTGTATGGACCCTAATGTGGCCGATCTCTCGTCTACATTAACACACATTGCTTTCCTTTTGTATTGCTTCATATCAAACCTCCGATCTGTGCACGGAGGAAGGATTAGTCTGTTGGTAGTAGTAGGGCTGCACAATTAACTGAATATTAATCACAGTTATGGCTTTCTGCAATTAACTGAACATGATCGACTGCCAGACTGACCTTTAAAATGCAAGCTTCATGCACAGAAAGCTTTACTGATGGAGAGCAGCCCGTGTAGATAAAATCACCTGAGTACATTTCACATTAGAAACAGCTTAGCTCGTGACTAAGTGGGGAGACTAGAGGCCTCTCTGTGTACAGCTAGCATCGACTATAGCCTGCTTGTCGGGCGTTTATGGAACTTTGGTTAATTGTAGCATCTATGAATACGAAAATGCGACGCAAGTAAGACAATTTGGGTACAATTTTATTTATATTTTGCGTCTATGAGATGCACCAAAACCATATTGGATGCAAAGATTTGTAAAAGGCACAAATGTAGCACAAAGTGGAATTTGTTTGTCCATTCAAATGAAATAGTAGAAGAAAAAAGAAATAAAAAAAGAAATCTCTTGTCTCTACAACAAGTATCTACAGTAATTTCTGGACTATAAGTCGCTACTTTTTTCACACACTTTGAACACTGCGGCTTAAACAATTCTGCTAATTTATGGATTTTTTACGAATTTGCCTCGCGACGAAAGTGACATTGAGAGCGACAACGAAAGAGAGACTGAGGAAGTGTGTGACGATGTAATTCTGAGGCTGTTCAACTCCAACGCTGAAGAAGTGCAGCCTATATATGTACAGTCGCGACTCGATAATCTGACCCTTAACAATCCAAAAACCTTGCTATCCAACAGGTTTTTAGGAAAGACGAACGGAACACATGAAAAACAGCCTGAACATACCGACAGCCTTGGATTACGACTCCGACATGACATTATATGTCACAAATAAGCGTATTATCTGACTGAACAAGCCGACAGATTGGCTACGTTCACACTGCAGGACTTAATGCTCAATTCAGATTTTTTTGTGAAATTCGAATTTTTTGGCGAGTTCATTCACATTTCCAATTAAATGCGACTTGTATGTGATCTGCTGTGTGAACTTCATACGACCCAAAAGTGTCCCGCATGCGCAGAAGAGGACACAACGATGTCACATGCAGCAGCGCCACTCCACCACTGCCGCCGACGGTGGAAACAGAACTGTGACCGCTAACTAAGCTGGCATCAGCAGCCAAATACTGCCTGTGCGTTCCGGCCACTTCCACCCTGTCGGAGCGCACCCCCGGGGTGGAAGTGTCCCCCAAGACTGCTCCGAATATTTGGATATTCATCATTAACTGGGCCTGAATATCCAGTGATCAGAAAGTGCTACTCGGACCAGCCCTACTAGTTATTATTACAACTATGAACAACAATTATCAACAAATGACCCTTCAGGATCAAGCCCTCCTTGTATCTCAACCTCCATCTTGACAATCCGACAGCCTTGCTATCCGACATAAAAGAAGGTTTTACATTTAGTGTCAGATTGTCCAGTCATGACTGTACACATTTTTTCTTTCTTTTTAAAGTTAGTGGGTGCGGTTTATATTCAGATGCGCTCAATAGTCTAAAAACTACAGTAATCACAATCTTAATATTGATCAAAACCAACCAGATTGTCTTTCCGTCCATAATACCGCAGCCCTACTACATCATAAACAGCATCATAACTTCCAGAGACGTGCACTCAAAGTACAGAATTGGACAACTGTGGCTCCAAACCACCGACCGCACGAAAAACTGCGAAAACAGCTCCGTCCCCCAAAAACTTACAGGAATATAGCCATCTCCAAACAACGGGGCCATTCATCACGCCAACCACCGGCACCCTCACCTATCATCATCATCTTTTGATCTGTCAGTCTGGCTCTGAGGTGTACTCTATCTATGAATAATGGTGATGTGTTGCTCCCAGTGGATGCTCATCATGCATGCCAATGAGCACGCAAGAGCCGAGGAAGAGAGGGACGAGGAGGACGGGGGTGAAAGTGAAGAGGCAGAAGAAGTATCCGCATTTTTTTATTTATTTATTTTTCAGATTATAAATGGAAACAATAAGGGAAGGCACCGCAACCCGCTTCAGAACAAATACATCACCCTGGCAATGATACATATTTGATCATATTCATTTGTGGTTAAACTCAGCTCAGCCTGCCACGGATACTGTTTTGTCAAATGGAAACGCTGTCAGTATTTCTGCTGTAGTCGGACACTGCAACCTGATGCAATAGATGATGCAAAGTGACCGTGACCTCATTTGGCTGATATATGTTGGCCCCAGCTCTCAGATTTGCTTTTTAGCAAAGTTTTTTTTTTCTTTTTTAGAAGGATTTACAAGCTCACAGAAAGGCACTACTGTTGTTTAGTCCTTGAATACATCTCAGACAAAAAAAAAAAAGCCTCATCCCGTTTTTGAGAAACCATCACGTCCCCAGACAGAGCATTGTGTGTGTCCTGGCTTTGAGCCATTGAGCACACTGCGGACCTTCATTACACATCAGGCATTATGCACAGCGGTCCCACCACTTTGTAACAGATAAAACTCAGTTTTAGATATGCAAATTACTATCGGGTGTTTTCACATGTAAGAAAAAAAACAACAACAAAAAGAAAAACAGAATCATCTCGCCTCCCTCCTGTGCTGTTTGTGTAGCTGTCTTTGTAACTTATCCATATCTCCTGACCCTGTAAGTAGCAATAATGGAGGGCTATTTTCAAAGTGCACGATACGTTTCAGCTCCTCTGACTGGGTGTTATTTAAGTGAATCATGCATTTATCCCTTCATTTTTGGGAAAAACGGCTGATGGAAACTTTGCAGCGCTGCTATAATTAGCATCGAACAAAGGATGATACGTAAGCTTTTTGTTCGTATGATTCTACAATATTGTACTTATTATGGTCTGCTCACTCGGATCCCAGCCAACGCCTAAGATGCCCAGAAGGCAGCTGCGACGCTAAATGGGAGTTAAACACACTGAGAGCAGTTGATCAGCATGCTTTATTAAGCAAACAACTGCGGCACCGACTCTGTGAGACGACGCATTCGTTCTTAAGAAATATGTCAACGCAGGTAGAAATTAAAGCTTAAGACTGCGCCTCTTTATTTTTTTAAAGCACAAGGTTGGAGATTACGTTCGGTTATAATAAATAAAACATCCTGAATATTGGTTAATAGCTGAACTGTGCAATCAGTCGGCGCATAACTCCCAGCTACCACGCCGCTTTCACAGATAACCTAATATCTACCATCTTAAACGCATCAAATATAATTTCCTGTTACAGCGTCGGCTAATATATCTCAAGGAAATTAAACTGGGACCAAATAGTTTCCTAGCAACATGATTCTAGGGAAATGGTCGATATGTTGTTGTTTTTTGTCTTCCTTTTGTTCTCAATGGGAAATAATAGTCTCCAGATCTCCCCATTTAATAACGCGCATGATATAATGTTAGCGGGTGAAATTAAGAAAGTAAGTACCTTTGTATTAGTGTGCCTCGTGTGAATAATTATTGGTGTTGCTGACATCCGCTTTTCATTTAAGTGGCCAGTGGCTTCCAATCCACTGAGCTGCAAAGCATAAAAACCACACTTCAGCCCGTCCTTGCTTTGGATGTTGCTCCATTTAAGATACTGTTGCTGCCCACCGCCTGCTGCTGCTAATAACTGCTATATTTACTAGCCTATAGCAGGAGTTATGATCAGCACAAGCTTTCTTTTCACTACAGTTTCATTCCGAGCACCAGTGCAATGTCTGACTCTGTAAACTTTCCCTCCCCATCTTATGTTTGGCCTCCCTAAAAGGCGAGCCCAGCATGCCTGCTGAAAAGAGAAATTGCTTTGAACAGAGCCATCATGCTAAAGCCAAGTGTATTTCCCATTACTGGTACAATAAAAGATAACAAAAATGTTTCTCTCTGAAATTACACTTTTTTTTTTTTTTTCCTCCCTCCAGGTTCCACAAAGGCTTTGTTGCTGAAGCAGGTACTGTTCTGCAGCCGGTGCTTCTAGCGATGATGTAAACTGAAGCACATGTACTGTACAGCAACCCTTGGGTGTGAGTGGGTTCTGCTTTGTGTTGGAGGAGGGCTTTTTTTTTTCTCCTGCCTGCTGCTGCTGCAATACAGGAACTCTTCTAAAAAAACAAAAAAAAGGAATTACCAGGATTTTCTGGCACCGGTATGTAAAGGATTTCCCTTCCTCACTCTTTTCGGAAAGTTCCACGTGAGCGCCGA